TACACAGAAGGCACTACACTGTCTTTACGCTGGTTTTGCAATCAATCATATTATTGCAGTTTGAAATTTTCATCATTATCATTAGGTTCCTATTCTTTTTTATTCGTTGCTCAATCTGAGATGCTTTGTTAAATACGCAAAGAAGAAAATTACAATATATAGACGTAATAGTTGGTATTCTGAAATACTAAAATATCAAAGAACACGGCACCTTCACTCACTTAGAAAAATATAACTTACTTAATACCCCATCCAATAACAGAATTATTGTTCTGTGTACCGCGAAATTTCACGGCGCGGCACCCGCGAGAGTCGCGTTCCAAATCACCGCTCAATCTAAATTATTGTGCAAGTTACGAACTAATCTTAATCAAAACTGCGGCAGCGGTTAAGTTTTTCAATAAAACACGCTTATCTTAGCCTGAGTGTAACTAAGTAGGTACACCTAAATATGGCGCTGGGAAAGTTTTTACGTTAATTATATAACTAATTTAATATTAAAATGTTGTTTTAGGGGCTTTGTAATTAATTTTGTTGTGTGCAAATTCATTAAATTAATATGTAACAAATAATAAGTAACAATAAATGTGTGTTGGTAAAGAAGTTGTTATTATTATAAGTACTTAAAAAAATCATGATAAAACTTAACTTTTGAGAGAGCTGCTCGATTTACTTTAACTCACTCAGTCCACTTTCCAATAAGAATCTTTAGACAACGTAGCGCCATCTATCGAAAGCTATAAGAGGTAAATGTCCCTCTACAGCGAGTCGTGGTCAGTTTTCTTCTTCTGAAGAAATATGTATCTACCTAAATAATGGTGGGGGAGAGAGATTGGGTAACAGTGAATCACGGGTTACAGTGGTACAGTACAGTACAGTGGTATTATTCGTTAAATTCAGTTTATGTATTGCTTTACACACACAAACAAACGTGCGGCTACAGCTCATCCACACCAATCACCGCCTCGCCGATCACATTATTGTTGACGTTCAAAAGTGCCTTTAAACTCTACGTCGTTCACAGCTCCTCCCCCGTAGATGATAGCGTTTTGGCGTTGTGCGCCGAGGAATTTAGAGGCAGACTTTTAAATAAAACTCGTGTTAAATTTAATGGCAAAACAAACAAACACTATTGATGGACAAGTCGAATTTATATTCATCCATCCATCAAAAGTATTCATCACAGACTACTTAGAGATACTACGTATGTGTTCATCAAATTAACGGCTTATTGTGTCACAGAGTTAATCATATACCATAGACGGCCAATGGCGACCATAGACAATATTAATATTCTCGTCTTAACTCGTCGAGTACCGGTTTTGTAGACACAATTATAGAACAATAGGTTGCGGTCACCGGTGACCGCTTGGTGTTTGACAGTTTAATACTAAAAGTGGGTCCCATAAATTACTATGCATGCATATCTACTGATAGTGGGACGCCACAGCGTGATAAAAGGTAGCCTATATGTTGGCTCGATCTGTTAGAAATATTCGTGCAAAATTTGAAGTAAATCCATGCAGTACTTTTTGAATTTAACCCGGACATGCATACAGACAAACAGACAAAAATTATAAAAAACATATTTTTTGCTTCGAGATCGATTGCAGATCACGCCTCGAGCATTCTTTTAAAAAAAATATTCGATAAACAGTTTTCACTTTCCTACGATTTTATTATAGGTACCTATAGATAGATATAAGATAGATTGTCAATAATTAAGTGTACTGAATAAACACTAAGTTCGTCCAAACAAGTAACTTTACCTAAATGACAACAACTGAGTCATTATCGTCGCACAAATCCACGAATTCAATTAAGAAACCACAAGCCAATGAAGCCAATACTACATCCATTTCAAGAGGCCATCAATTAGATTACTATCAATATTCAATCTCCTGGCAGTGCTAATTAACAGCCGCTAGAGGGCGCCACTAACTTGTTACTGATAAAAGTTAAGCCATCAAGTGGTGGCATAATTAGCTACATCTGAAGCCGGTTGTGGGAACCTCGGGGGAAGTAGGTATTTGAAGTTTTAATACAAGGAGATTGTATGGGAACTGGGCACTTTTAGTTATAATTTTGCCTTTTTAACGTCCTTGGTATTTACTTTATAATGAAATTAGTGTACCTATGTCTAAGAGTGGGAGTTTGCGTTGTGTTTCATCGTGTGAGTGAGGTTGCCGGTGGCCCAATTACCCCCTCTCCTATCTCCCCAATCCCCAATTATCCTCAAATTTCTAAATCCCAAAAGGCCGGTAACGCACTCGTAACACCTATGGTATTTCAGGTGTCCATGGGCGGCCCCGATTGCTTACCATGCAGGTGATCCGTCTGCTCGTTTACCGGATTATTTCATAAAAAAAGTAATATTTTTTTTATCATTTATATACCTATAATATAGGTGTTTAAATAGGATAAAGAGGACATTGGTCAGGGCGAATGAGATAGACTACCTATAGGGTGTACCAAAGAGAATGTAACTTCTAGTGTATACCTAATATTGTCTTATAATTTCGTGGTGAAGTTGTTATGTGGTAAAACCTGTGGTTTTTTATGTTATACGTGCCAAAGTGCTTTTTCTTTCACATGTGACGATAACATCATAAGATTAGAGAAGAGAACAGATAATATTTTCGAAAAGTCATTGTTTTAGGTATAGATACCTACTTGGGGAAATTAGGTACCTAGTAGTTCTGTACATACATATGACGAAATTTATAGATATTTAGCATATAACTATTTACTTCTTTTTCTATCATCTAATTAGATTCTATCATCGCACCGCTCGCCGTCGACAGGGAGTCTACGCTCACACATTGGAGCCCAAATGATGCCGAACAGTCCGTTTTCAGAGAAATTTCCTCCCACGGACCCTCCGATTGTGGAATGAACTCCCTGCCAAGGTTTTCCCGGTAGGCTATAATATGGGGTTCTTCAAGAAAGAAGTAAATAGGTTTATTAAAGTTCGACAAGGCGCATGAAATGCCCCAAGTTTTGCAAGAGTTCACAGACTACGGTAACCGCTTACCATCGGGTGGGCCGTGCGCTTTTCTACCATCGTCGTGGTATAAAAAAATAGAAGGTACAGAAAATAAAACACCATTATTATAAAACCGATTCAACCATAATAATTTTATAAATTAATAATATAAAACTCGCAACAAAATATACAAACAAATCAACTTAAGTTATTTAAGTATGTGCGCTTAACAATATATTATTTAGCCTTAGCACCTATTTATTTATTTATTTTTATTATTCATCACAGCTTTAAGCATTTTTGGGCTCATATCAGCGACACATTACAATGGCAGATAAAAAAAAATAATGGCGGCATTTTCACTTTCGTGAGACATAATAAATTCATTATTACTTTTTTCGGCTTACTCACGTAATTATTTGACAAGGAACTTGACTAGTTTCAAGCCATACTAGAGGCTCATATTCATGAGCAGTATTCCGCGACCATCGACGCGGCGACTGTCGCGCTGGTAGCACCGCCAAACAGTTACGTGCGTAAGAAGAAAAACATCAAAGAAAAAGATACATTTTATATAATAGTCAAAAACATATTGCTTATTAAGCCCATAAAGTAATAAACTACTTATTTAATAACAGCAGAACATACTTATTATGTACTTCAATTCAGTTAAACAATTAAATTCAGCTATTGTTACATCAAGCTAAATTGATATTTTTCGCTATATGTCGCTTGCATAGACAACATACTTACTGCCCATCATTTTATGAACATTTCAAGTATAAATCACATTTTCTAAATATCCTATTTCCTTAAAATTGTGAGAAACCCAAAGTTATTATAGTAAACAATTCGTTAAAAATTTAACTTCTTAATAAATACTAAATTATGAATATTACCTACTAGCTGTTGCCCGCGACTTCGTCTATATATATTTTCCAAAATAAGAGTATCTTACTCCTTAGTACATCAGCTACATGCCAATAAAAGTCTTGCAAAATTGGTCCAGCCATTCCAGAGATTAGGCAGTACAAACAGACAGACAGAAAGACAAAAAATGTTCTTTTGGTATGTGTATCGTGTGTATATTCATATGCATGTAGTAGAAAGCGGTTATTTTAATATTGCCTTAAAACAGAGACTCCAATATTATTTATTTTGTGTAGATGTACTTACAAAAGTAAGAAAGCAATATATTTTTAAAAGGTTAAAGTTATATAACATTAAATATATAGTCATAATGTTTCTTTAAAACATTTTATAATGTTGGCAGCAAAAGTGTTTCTACAAGCTCGGTTATTATATAAACTAATTGTTTTCTTTACTATTACGATTATATGGTGATATTAATACAGTATTAGGATACACTAGAGTCATATAATTATGGGCTAACGATTATTGTGTAAGAGATGTGTTTACAGAATACATATTATTTTCACATGTGTGTAGTAATCCACCAAGTCCATGGTTGGTCATCACTGGTCATTTATCAAAGTTAAATACTTATACAAAGGCAGTTCAGATATAGAGTGCCAAGCACCAATAACTATCACATTCGTAACGTAATAATATCGAGCACGTTCGGCGCTTTGATTGGCCGGCTCAAGTCAATCAACCAATCACTCAGCATCATTATCAACAGCCTGTCTTCGTCCACTGCTGGACATAACCCTCTCCAATGTCACGCCATTGACCTCGGTCTTCAGCTCTACGCATCCAACTACTACCAGCCACTTTACGTATATCGTCACGCCACTTACCTGGAAAGCGTCCTACACTACGTTTGCCTAGACGCGCACTCCAGAACACGTGTACCCCGGTAGTCATCGATTCTTCGACAAATGTGACCGGCCCACTGCCATTTCAGCTTACTAATCCTTTGGGCTACATCGGTAACTTTAGTTCTCTGTCGGATCACCTCGTTATGGATTCTATCCTTCAGAGATACTCCGAGCATAGTCCTCTCCATAGCTCGCTATGCCACCTTAAATTGGTGGACCAGTCGCACTGTTAGTGTCCACGTCTCGGCTCCGTATGTCATTACTGGAAGGACGGTCTCGTTGAAGACTTTTGTCTTCAGGCTTTGCGATAGAGTTGACGAAAAGACCCGATACTCAATCACATAATATTACGTTACGAATGCGATAGTTATTAGTGCTTGGCATTCTAAAAAGCAAGTTAAAAATGTGGTGTGTAAACAAGTGTTGTAGATTAAGCTAAAGTTACTCTCTGTTTCCCCTGAAAACTTGATAACATCTTCTGTTCCGGAGTCAAACTCTCACCTCGAAACCTTTTGTATCTGAAATACCAATAATACCAGTAAAACCAATTATAGAATGTGCCAAAGTAGATTAAAGAAAGAAAAGAAGAAGCAAAAAGCATTTATTTTTATAATAACTATCGTGAGAGTATGTCTCACGATTTTTTTAAAAACCCAATCGACTGTTAATGTCAAAATGTAATTATGTATGTCAAACTCACATCATATCGTAGAACAGTCTCTGTTGCATAGAGAGCGAAGGCTTGGTCTCCTCTAAGGCACTCTCTATATCCTCCTTGTACACCACCACCGAGTCCATCGATTTCTCTTCGTTTGTCGCCTACGAACAAATCATTTAATAGATATTTCTAAGACCTTGTTAATTCAAAATTGCTTAGTATAAAATAAATAATATGTCAAACCGTTTGTTTGTTTCAAGTTCATTTGTGTTGAATAAGATATTATGCTTACTTCGGATGATCTTTCACATCAAATTTTCTTATTAGAACAAAAAGAAACGACGAAGATAATCTTCGTGAACGTTCAGTCAACTGATTGTAATGGCTAATGGCTGGGCAATCGAGAATAACTAATCTCACTTAAGAATTATTTATACCTACGTACCCACGGGATAGTCGTGGTGGCCCGGAGGTTTAAGACGCCCGCTTCTCATGAATGAGGGTGCGGGTTCGAAACCTTCCAACGGCAAGTACTAATGTGACTTTTTCCGAGTATATGTACTTTCTAAGATTATTTAGACACCACTGACAAACGGTGAAGGAAAAACATCGTGAGGAAACCTGGACTTATAATTTCTAATTATAAGTTTGAAATCGCCAACCCGCATTGAGCAAGCGTGGTTATTAATGCTCAAACCTTCTCCGTGTGAGAAAAGGCTTTGCTCAGCAGTGGGCACTTATAAACTGTTGATGATGATGACCCACAGGATAGGAAAAAGTGTGGGGACAACGTATTAAACTTAGAAAAGTTAATTTAACTCTGTGGTGGTTACGTACCAGTTGGTTCTCCAACCTCGTAAGCTGAGCAGTGACTAGTATGGACTTGAGGTCTGCGGGAGAGTACCCGTCGGTCCGGTCCGCCAGCTCCTGCAGGTCCACCGCGTCGTCCACTTGGACATTTTTCGTTAACGTTCGGAGAACTTCGTAGCGACCTTGCTGTACAAGTGAGAGGAAAATAAAAGCATTTTTTTAAACACATAACATCACGCCTTTTTGTCATTGAAGGAGTAGGCAGAGGTGCACATTACGGCACTTAATGCCACTATAGAGGTACAATGTAACACCCACTTTTCACTATTTATGTTAGGAGTCCCATGTACCTAATAGGGGGTGAGCCTATTGCCATATACCGGGCACATTTCCAGGCTCCGTGCTACTACTGAGAATTTTAAAAACCCAATACTTTGACCGACCCGGGAATCGAACCCGAGACCCCTTGCCCGGTAGTCGCATGATGAACGCAAATACAGCGTTGTTTCGTTTTACTTTTCTGTAAGGTTGTTATATTACTGTTGGGCCGGTCCATGCGGGCTGAATATAAATCTCCTGCTTGAAGTAAGAATATTATTCTTTCTTGCAGTACTACTGACCTTATCAGGCAGGGCACAATACACATGTCTCTGCAACCGGCCCGCCCTCAGCAGCGCGGGGTCCACCAGGTCGGGCCGCGACGTGGCGGCCAGCACGGGGCCCCGCGCCCCTCCCTCCGCGCCGTCCAGGCGAGATAATAACTGGTTCACTACCCTGTCTGTCACTCCTGTCGAGTCGTGACCTCGTCTGAGAAAAGGATGAAGATAAAATAATGATTAATCGATTGAATGCCCGTATATTAAGACTGACTAGTACTGTAACTAGAGAATTGTATTGTGAACCTGATTAACCTATGGAGTTTCTTGCTCGTTTTTCTCCATAGGAATCTACACTTTGGAATGAGCCTTTTAATTTTTTTTGTTGACGTTCAAAAGTCCCTTTTTGGTCTAATTGGAATAAATGATTTTGACTATGACTTTGAATAGAAAACACATTGGAGTCTCGCGTCGATCCGCGGTTTAGAACACTCGACAGGTTAAACACAGGAGAAATTAAGTACTGTATACTTGATAAGCTATGAATTGCATAAGGTGATATTTGAACTAAAGATATAAACCTCTAGTATCTTTTATAGGTATATATTTTATTGTATGTATTATATTATTAATGGAGCACAATAAAGATTATTCTATTCTGTTCTAAAGGAGCTTCTAAAAAGGGCTTGAGGCATTGATATACTAAAATTATTAAGATAAGTGTAAAAATTACTGTAAAAATATAATAAATAACTAAGGGAGAAAAACTCTACTAGTGTGATTTAAAACTATTGAGAGCTGCTCTCCATTAGTTCACATGAGTAAGCCGTATATTTCAACTAATTTAAACTGTATTTGTTACATTATACTAATTTATGGTTCTTATGACTTATAGGGAATGGAACGCTCCCAAAAAACGCCGACAGGTGACGGTATAAAATAAGTTTTGTTTTCATAAAAGTAAATAATTAAATGTTTCTTTTTTATACCTAATAATAGTTCTCTCAAGTTCAAAGCTGAAGTTATATGAATAACACGAAAACAAAAAATATTAAAATTGTAGAAACATTTCTTTTTGTTAGCGTTTCGAAAGCATTCCGTTTACACCCTGTATAAAGCTACATAGACACTTACAAACCACTTACTTGGGCGCGAGACTGTCGAATTCGTCGAAGAACAATATACACGGTCTCTTCATGTCCGCCCTGTAAGGACAATCATAAATTAAACTCTGTTCCTATTGTGTTACAGTTGTTATTTACTATGTCAAAAATATTTTCATTAAACTGTCTAATAATTGGTCGAATGTCGTACATCCCTCGGCATAATGCATCAGCAAGAGGTCCCCTATTTCGACTCTACCGAACTATCATTGGATTTATAAAATTTCAAAGATTTTAGGACAGTCTGGTATTGTAAACCTACACTATTTTTGGTGTTAGTAATGCTTCCTATTAAAATAAGCATAGTATCAGCTTCGTGGGTGCGTATAAACATACAAGTCACATAGACATGACAGTCAGACCCGAAACAACAATTTGTAGATCACATAAAGAGTTGCTCCGTGCGGGAATCGAACCCACGACACGTTGCGTGGCAGCCGGTTGACCAGCTACCGCACCAACCGTGCCGCACCAATGTTGCCAATAAAAACACTAAAATAATAATTATTATTTTAACACCCCACTCGGGTGGAAGACACCCACTTATTACCGCACTCCCTTCATCGAATTAATAATACTGGAGTTTCTTGCTGTCTTCTACATAGCAATCTACACCTTGGAATAAGCAACTAGCTTCACTTCTAAATGTTTGTTGTTGACGTTCAAAAGTGTCTTTCTGGTCTAATTGAAAGAAATGATTTGACTTTGACTTTACTAACTTGTCAAATATATCCCGAACAGCCTTCTCACTCTGTCCAATATACTTGGAGAGCAGTTCTGGTCCCTTGACGGTGATCATGTTCATGTTGGCGAGGCGAGCGAGGCACGAACCGATATGGGACTTGCCAGTACCAGGGGGCCCGTAGAGGAGGATACCGCATGATTGAGAGGGGAAGAGGGCTGGGTACTGAAAGATATATTAATATCATTATCAACAACCACCCCCGTAGTCCATTCCCTGCCAAAAGTCCTTAGAAAAGAGGTCTTTGTCATCTTTACGCTAGGTACGTGGGTTGGCTGTTACGCTGTGGAAATGCCTCTGTTAATTTTTTTTTTCTTAGACCGACTTTTACTACTCAGTATTGGGAATGTGTTCGCTATTATCTCATGATTGTCTGAACCGATTTCGATGCAGTTTTCAAGTATTTTGTTAACTAAAATCGCGGGTTACTCAAACAGTGAGCTACGCGACGACGTAACCACCGAGCACGAGCTCATGAGGAAGAACCCGTCTGTGGTTCGAAACTAGTAGAGCTTTTCTCAGTATATTCACGTGAGTAACCCGCGATTTTAGTTAATTTAGCATGTCTCACGATAGTTATTACAAAAATAAAGTATCTTGTGTTCTCTTTTTTGATCACAGATGAGAAAGAAATAGTTTTCTTTCTGGTTATTTACCATGATAGGCCAGAATATGCACTCTGTTAGTTCTTGTTTGACCTCCTCCAGTCCTCCTACTGGACCCCAGATATCAAACTCGTTGGCTTTCTCTTCGTCCTTTGTGATATCTTCCACCAAACGAGGCTTGGGCACTTCTGGGTTCGATTCTGAAAAATATAAACATGAATGTTTTTGCTAGTATTTCATATGAAGAGGTTTTATAATAAGATGCGAAATTTAATAAACACAATGGGGATGACGACGGGTAATAAAAATTTAAAATCTATTTAGTCCGTCAGTTAGCTAATGAAAAACTATTAGACACGTGTTTTTTTATTTTGTCGTAAAAGAAAACAATACTTAGACAAAACGAGTTTGGGAGGTACAACGTCATTAATTTGACTTGACCGTTATTCGAAGCTTATTTAATTGAGATAGGCCTTCTGCTTCCCTCCTTCCGCTTTTTCTATATGTCTATCTCTTTCTACTACGTCACTTCCACTTGGCAGTGGTGGGGAGTCTTGCTAAGCGAGACTCGCCATTTTTATTTCATTGAGTCTCATTACCAGGCAGAGCTTGACTATAAGCTTCGAATAAGGTAAGTAAATTAATATGCGTTTTATTGGTAGGTAAAACGCTTCCATTAATTTGACTTGACCGTTATTCGAAGCTTATTTAATTGAGACGTGTTTGTTATCGCCTGGTGGAAGTGACAGACGCCAATGTGAGGTAGTATGACTGCGTTGACCGCATTCGTACTACCTGGTATGATGTGGTAAAATCACAGAATAGAAAAACTAAGTAAAAACATATACATGTTTTGATGAAAGGCATTGAATAGAAAACCTGTTATTTTTAATTTTTCAATAATAATTGTATTTGATCTGAACAAAAACAGATGTTATATATTTCTGAGGTATTTTATTGCCTCGTTTCTAATTTTCTAATCGTCTGTATTGAATAAAAAGGTGACATACAAAGGCACACACATCTTAGAAAGGATCGCCTCAAAAGGATAACTATCCACTAAATTTTTTCAGATCACAGCTGATCTGAAACCCTCAGGATATCTTGGGGGATTACTGATATCTTAATATCGGTTACCACCAAGAAGGAACTTTATCCTGACCGCAATTA